AAACTGTGATAATTTACTTAACTCAAAATGAATATAAAAATTGAGAAGGTTTAAATCATCAGAAAATTAACCCTGATTTTGTACAAAACAAAATATTGTGCTGGCATTATTTTTACATGTTGAATTAAAATTTAAAGAATTGTGTCAGGTGCAGTGGCTCACAAATGTAATCCCAGCCCTCTGGGAGGCAGAGGTGGGAGGATTACTTGAAGCCAGGAGTTCAAGATCAGCTGGGTTAATATAGTGAGACCATCTATACAAAAAATTTAAACATTAGTTGGGTGTGATGGCGTGCACCTGTGGTCCCAGCTACTTGGGAGGCTGAGGCAGGAGGATCACTTAAGCCCAGGAGTTCAAGGCTACAGTGATCTATCATCATGCTACTGCACTCCAGCCTGGGTGGCAGAGTGAGACCTTATCTCTAAAAAGATAAATAAATAATAAAATAAAATTTAAAGAACTGGATCATGCTAAAAGCTCTTCTTTTATCTTGGAATTAAGGCCTTACATAAATATATTTTTCTGTTCCCACAAAGGAAATTTATATATTTTAATAGCTTTTTATTTCATTTAGACATTTCTGACTGTTTAGCTGGTCTAGTTTCCCTGGAGTGTTTACAACTGAACGCTTTTTTTTTTTTTTTTTTTTTGAGACAGAGTCTCGCTTTTTTGCCCAGGCTAGAATAAGTGCCATGGCGTCAGCCCAGCTCACAGCAACCTCAAACTCCCGGGCTCAAGCAATCCTCCTGCCTCAGCCTCCTGAGTAGCTGGGACTACAGGCATGCACCACCATGCCCAGCTAATTTTTTCTATATATATCAGTTGGCCAATTAATTTCTTTCTATTTATTGTAGAGACGCGGTCTTGCTCTTGCTCAGGCTGGTTTTGAACTCCTGACCTCGAGCAATCCAGCATTTATTCATATGTAAAGAAAGGAAATGAAATTATCGCCCATATTAAACAAAATAATCTCAGTTTTTGACAAAATACAAACAATCTCCTCATGAGGCTTTCTTAACTTTTTGTTCTGAATTACCTCCCAAATGAAAAATCTTGTTATTATCAAATGGCTAGTACAATTCCAAATTGTTGCTGGTGAAATTGCGTCAGTTAGAAAGATAAGAGTATAAGTTAGTGTGATTGTGAGAAAACACGAAGAGAGCAGGTCTTTGACCCAATTTCAGTTGAGACAAGGATCCAAAAGGATGGTGCTACTTTGTATCTCCAAAACTTGGCCAAAGGCCAATCATCACGGATCAGGGGCCAGAGAAAACCTCTGGGTTCTGGGCAGAAGACATGAAACAAAGTAGTATGCAAGGACATAGACAAAACTGAAGAAGTCCTTATCAAAGTTTAATAATGACCCAGGCTGGGCACGGTGGCTCACGCCTGTAATCCTAGCACTCTGGGAGGCCGAGGCGGGCGGATTGCTCGAGATCAGGAGTTCGAAACCAGCCTGAGCAGGAGCGAGACCCCGTCTCTACTATAAATAAAAAGAAATTAATTGGCCAACTAATATATATAGAAAAAATGAGCTGGGCATGGTGGTACATGCCTGTAGTCCTAGCTACTTGGGAGGCTGAGGCAGCAGGATTGCTTGAGCCCAGGAGTTTGAGGTGGCTGTGTGCTAGGCTGACGCCATGGCACTCACTCTAGCCTGGACAACAAAGGGAGACTCTGTCTCAAAAAAATAAATAAATAAATAAAAAATAATGACCCAGGGCAAAGTTTATTCAAAGGATACTGGTCTGAGAATACTTTCTGAATTGTATTGCTTCTGGGGCTGGTTGTAGGACAGACTTACTGGCCCTTAGTTGATGGAGTGATTTGTCTGGTTAATTCTGATAACAAATGAGACTTTGGGATACTAGCTAACTGCAAGACCCCTGAACAGTTGGCATCCCCAACTTCTTAGAGGGACATGTCCCCAACTTCTGTTTAGTAACCAGAGACTGAGCAATAATAGGTTTGTGATGCCCTTATACATCCAGGGCTCCACGCTTGACTTTTCCTTACAGACTTTTCCTCATATAGACAAACATTCAAAACACTAGACAACAGACCATAGGAACAGGTGTAGAAGGACAGAAAACAATTTCCCCAAGGACAAAATAAAAATCTGGTCAGACAATCAAGAAATCCACGGGCACTTATTCCAAGTGTAAAAAAATAAAATAAAAATAAACCCAATGCTTAAGGGTCTCAACAAAGTATCAGAGCTCAATTTGGTGAGAACTTACCTTCAGCCATCAGTAGGATGGCACCTTGGAGACACAAGGGATTTCAGATGTCCACAGTTACTAGAGTCAAGACTCCCAGTCCAAGGCAGTGAGGGCTTCAGCTGAATCTTTGTGGATACTCCATTTTTGACAATGCCCTCCTCCCAAAGACCACCAGGAATCATTCAACTACAGGTTGAATGATGAAGACTAAACACCTTGGGGAACCATGGACATCCCAGTAAGTGCATGCTAGAAAGGACTTACTACAGGATTTGGGCTTATGTTCGGTGATTTCCTAAAAGGGTTCAAGAAAGGGAGATTTGCTCTAGGTTAGATGCCGTCAGAAAGTAGGGATAATTCTTTTTTGCTATCTTAATATTTATTTATTTAGTTAGTTATTTTTAGTGACAGGGTCTCACTCTGTTGCCCAGGCTGGAATGCAGTGGCATTATAGCTTACTGTAGCCTCAAACTCCTGGCCTCAAGCAATCCTCCCACCCTGGCCTCACAAAGTACTGGGATTACAAGCATGAGGCACCACACCTGGTCTAATAATTCTTATCTAGAAGATGTGAGGAATGAAACAGAACTAAAGCTGTACTTGGTAAAGAAGCAGCAGTCACACTGTGAGAGATGGGATTGTGCTTGATCGTTTTTGTGGTTTGGACAATGTTGTTTTTATGTTGAGATATGATTACAGAGTGGTCTTTTCCTTAATCCATCAGTCAAAGAGTGACCTTGTCTAATGTTGGTGTTTTGTGAACTTGTTTCTGCTTAATAGGGCAATACCACAGCCTTGCCGTTTGTGCCAGGCCAGCTCCTAGCAATGCCGAGCCTTCTGGAGGGAGAGTGCAACCAACTCTTAGCTATCAGGAGTTGCTTTTCTCTTTTCACCGCTATACTTGAAAAATCAGAATTGGCAACTCCTTTGGTAGAACATGAGCCCTGCAGGTGACCACAGGTACATTTCTCCCCAATAGATGACTTTATAATTGTCCCACTTTGCTCATTTACACTATTTGTCCCCTGCAGGCAATTAAATTTGCACCTTTCACTAAAGCAGAAAAGGAACCAACCAAGACCAGAGAGAAGTCACTTGTCTAGGATCTTCTGTTATTGAGCAAATGAGCTTGATGCCCAGTGTGCACAGAAGTCAATACTATGGCACTGGCTTTTGAGAAAAGAAAGGCTTTATTGCAGGGCCAGCCAGCAAGGAGATAGGAAGCAGGCTCAAATCTGTCTCCCTAGTTTGAGGTCTAGGACAAGTTTATAAGTTTGGTGGACAAGGGAAAGGATTTAGGAATGTTGGCTTGACAGGGTCTGATTGGAGGGCTTCAAACTGGCCATTTACAGTAAGGTAGGTTGAGGCAGATCTTAACTGTGGATGTTCTGGACCAATGGATGCCTCACTTCTAAAAAAGTTCCGGTGTTCAGGTTCCAGTAATGTCTTGGTCTTCTTGATTCCAAAGGGAGGAATCATTGGTTCTGAGTGTTGTTAGAGGTCAAAGGTTTTTCCATTGTGTATGCCCGGCTACATGACTTGCAGCTTTTGGCTTTTATATATACAAGGTAACGACATTTTTTTTTTTTACAAACAGAGTAGGCCCACTTTGGGCTGGTCCCATGGTTACAATTCTAGTGAACTGGTAGCAAACTTGAAACTAAAACTATTTGTTTGGTTTTCCCTGTAGCAACCCCTCACCCCCTAGCTAGATATTAGAGGTAGATTCTTAAATCTCTGATGTATCAGACTCTAAACTGGATGCAAATCTGATCAGATAAAAACACTTCTCTGTCAGGTGCAGTGGCTCGCGCCTGTAATCCCAGCACTTTGGGAGGCCCAAGTGGGAGGATTGCTTGAGGCCAGGAGTTCAAGACCAGCCTGGGCAACACAGCAAGATCCCAATCTCCACACAAAAAAGTAGATATATTAAAAAAAAAAAAAATAGCCATGCCTGGTGGCATGCACATGTAGTCCTAGCTCTCAGGAGGATCAGGCAGGAGGATCACTTGTGCCCAGGACTGAGAGTTACACTCAGTTATGATCCAGCCAGTGCACTCCAGACTGGGCAACAGAGTGAGACCCTGTCTCTAAAAACAAAAAACCCATTTCCTAATACACTTTTCTGTCAAGAGTGGGTTCCTAACTCATGTCTTCTTTCTTGTGGGTTTGGGTGCTAGGTCTCAGGACATTATCTGGGATACTAAGACCTTTGCTCAGCCACTCCAGCCACCCCCCACATTCTTTCTGCCCTTCGCATTCACCAAGCGTGCTCCTGCCTGGTCTTCTTACCCGCTTTTCCCTCTGCCTAGAACCTATTTCTGCCATCTTCACATGGCTGCTGCTTCTCAGATCTCCACCTCAGAAACACCTTCCATCCTTGGCACCCTCACACTATTGCCACCCCTCTGCGAGCCACCCCACTTAGGCCTCCTTTACGAGCTTCCCTTGGTGCTTTGTTCGCAGTTCTTGTCACCATCTCAAGCGCGCGAGGCTGGAAGGCGGGAAACCTTGCCCGATATCCGGCTCTCTCTGGGTCTCAGTTTTCCCTTCACACCCACGAAGCGCTCAGATGGCAGAGACCTAATCACGGGGGAGGGGAGGACTTCGCTTTCCACATCTGGCAAGGGACCAAGCGCATCCTCGATATGGTCTCCGGGACTCCTAAGTGGACCGCACCTCACCCTTAAGACGACACCATCCCACACGCCACCCCTCCGCGGAGCCAGGAACCACAGGCCATAATCCGCACTTGCGGCCCCGCCCCCGGTCGGGGGCGGAGCCTAGACGCGCCTGCGCAGCTGCCCTGCTCCGGCTTCCGGGTAGTGCGAGCGCAGCGGGGCGGAGGGCCAGTGCCGCCGAGTAGCTGCGGCGTGTGGGCGTGTGCGTGGAGCGGTCTGGCCCTAGGGCAAGGGTGCAGGGGTCTTTGGGAGAGAGCCGGAGGGTACAGAGAGCCTGGGATCGCCGCCTGCCGCAGCTACCTGGCATGTCGGCCGAGGCCTCGGGCCCGGCGGCAGCCGTGGCCCCGTCCCTGGAAGTCCCTAAGCCCTCGGGTCTCGAGCCTGGCCCCGCCGCCTATGGTCTCAAGCCGCTGACCCCGAACAGCAAGTACGTGAAGCTGAACGTGGGCGGCTCGCTGCACTACACCACGCTGCGCACCCTCACGGGACAGGACTCCCTGCTCAAGGCCATGTTCAGCGGCCGTGTGGAGGTGCTTACCGACGCCGGAGGTATGTGCGCCTTCTTCACGTGTGCCCTCCTCCATCCGCTAGATCCCCAACTCCCTTTGCCCTGTCTTTTATCGCTCAGGCTTTTTGCCCCTTCGCTCTTCTTACTACTGTCCGGTCAACTCATTCTCACCTCTCCAGCCTCCTCATCCCATCTCATCTTCCCTTTCTCATTCGTAATCTCCTTCATCCCCCGTCTTTTACCCCCATCAATAATCAACATTAACGGAACACCTAACTCTGCCAGGTGCTGTGGTAAGAGAGTGAACATATTACTTCACAATCGTCGTTACCAATTCTCTCACCCTTCACCCCGAAGCTCAAAAGACTGGGGAACCAGCCCTGCTGCCAGCAGCATCCCTCCTGACAACCTTCATCACTTTCTTCCAACTGCCCAGCCTTGGGTTCCCTTCTCAGATCTGCTGACAACCAACCTGGAAAGATGGGAGATCTTGTCTGTTTCTCTGTTCCCCTAACACGGGTCCCTGTACACTCTAGCAATCTGTCTGTAAATGCAGATTGTAGAAGGAGAAGGCTGCTTTGCCAGGGACACCAGAGTGGAGAGTGCACAGTTCTCCTTGGCAGGTGAATCTTACCTCCTTGGAGTGTTGCATTCAAGTTTGGGCCCCACATACTCAGTGAGACCTTAAAATTGGAGGGGGGTTTGAGGGGAGGGATGATTAGAGGGAGTTAACAAGGATTACAAGAGCAGGAAAATGAAAAATTGGGAGGTAGAGCTCAGCCTTCAAATATCAAAGGTGAAGAATTCATTTATTCAATAAATATTTGTGAAATAATCTGAAGATACTTAGGTAAACAAACTTGACAAAATGAGCCTATGAAGTTTCCTTTTTTGGGGAGACCAATAAGCAAGTAAACAAACAAGCAAAATATATGCAATTGCATATAGTAATAAGTTCTATGAAGAATATAAAGGTTAAGACTGGACGCAGTGGCTCATGCCTGTAATCCTAGCGCTCTGGGAAGCCGAGGGGGAGGATAGCTTGAGATCATAAGTTCAAGACCAGCCTGGGCAAGAGTGAGATCCCATCTCTACTAAGAATAGAAAAAATTAGGGCTGGGTGGTGGCTCACGCCTGTAATCCTAACTCTCTGGGAGTTCAAAACCAGCCCGAGCAAGACTCCATCTCTACTAAAAATAGAAAGAAATTAATTAGCCAACTAAAAATATATACAAAAAAAATAGCAGGGCATTGTGGTGCATGCCTATAGTCCCAGCTACTCGGGAGGCTGAGGCAGAAGGATCGCTTGAGCCCAGGAGTTTGAGGTTGCTGTGAGCTAGGCTGACGCCATGGCACTCTAGCCAGGGCAACAGAGCAAGACTCTGTCTCAAAAAAAAAAAAAGAAAAGAAGAAAAAATTAGTGGGGCGTGATGGCACACCTATAGTGGCAGCTACTTGGGAGGCTGAAGCAGGAGGATCACTTGAGCCCAGGAGTTTGAGGTTACTGTGAGCTATGATGATGCCACTGCACTCTAACTCAGGCTATAGAGACTCTGTCTCGATAAAAACAAAACAAACAAAAAGAATATAAGATTAAAATTGTTAGTGAACTGGAGGGCAAGAGTATACAGTTTAACTAAATAGGATGGTCAGAATTAACACCAGGGGTGAGAGGTTTATTGATACGGTAATTCTGTAAGAACTTTCTCATAGTGAGAGTCTTCTGACTGTAGTACAGATTTGGGAGGGAAGTCTCTGGCTGGATATGTGTAAAAGCACGAGCCACTTCTCTAAAACTCATTGGAGATGTTTTAAAGGGATTTTCTTGAACATGGCAAAGGTTTGAGACGGATCAGTATTTAGACCTTTTTTTGTGGCTTTGGAATCCTTTCTACATAAAAATTTAGTTGCTCCAGGGCACCCAGCAGAGCCATCCTTCCTCCTGCCTCTCCCTACCCCACCAGGTTGGGTGCTGATTGACCGGAGCGGCCGTCACTTTGGTACAATCCTCAACTACCTTCGGGACGGGTCCGTGCCACTGCCTGAGAGTACCAGAGAACTGGGGGAGCTACTAGGTGAAGCACGCTACTACCTGGTACAGGGCCTGATTGAGGACTGCCAGCTGGCGCTACAGGTGAGGGTCCTCCCCACCTCCTGAGTCCCTTTGTCCATGTTCCTGGGAAAGCTGCGCAAGCAGATATTAGGAGAGCCTGGCCCTGACTGCCATAACCCCAGAGAATTTGGGGGTACTGTCTTCTACATCTGTGCTGCCTCAGCAGGTCCCCCCCGCGCCACCTCTTGCTAGGACCATTGCAGTGGTTGAATAACTGCTCTCAGCTTCTTGCAGTTCCTACCCAGTCTGTCCAGCTGTTACACTACCACCTGAGTAGTTATCCTCAAACACAACCCCAATCTAGTCTCTCTCTTGCTCAAAGATCCTAAATAGCTCCTTCATGCCACTAGAGAAAAACATCTAAATTTCAATTGAAATATAGTAACCTCCATGATCTGGTCCTGTCTTAGGAGGCAGTGTTCCCTCATGTCTTCCACCCCCCAGGGGCTTTCTAGTTTTTTTGTTTGGTTTTTTTTTTTAAAGCAGTGAAATGCTTTCCTTAAATGAAATCTAATAGAAACAGAGCTGCTTCCAGTAAAACAGGGTTGAGGATCCAGGGCCCCAGCTGCTGGGCTCCAGTTCTGTAGACCCCTTAGGGTTCTGAGCTTGGAAAGTACAGCTAGGACATAGGGGCTCCGTTTCACCTCTACCACAGCTGACAGTGACTTTGAGTGAGTCCATTCCTACCTCTGGTGTTCTGTCCTCATGTCCCGAAAGATAGGGACATGAGAAAAATAAGTACAATGTAGTGAGTTTTACATAAAGCTTTCTGTTGTTTTATTTTTACAAAGTTAAAATTGTCCTTTCTTTTTTGATATAATAGTAATAAAAGATTATAAGGGTTTTTTAAATGCCTTTTATATATTAAAAAGTGACAACTCTGAACAATTTTCTGTTATCTCAGGGAATACTTAATAGTTCTTGAAATCCAAAGGTATAGAATTCCTTTGGACAGTATCCATGTTTTTCAAACTTTCTGATTGAAGCCCATGGGGGAAAATGCTTTTTTTAAAATTTTTTTTTTTTTTTCTTTTTTGAACCAGAAGGGTAAGAATAAAATTTTTTTTTTTAAGAGACAGTCTCACTCTGTCACCCAAGCTAGAGTACAGTGGCATGATCATAGCTCACTGCAAACTCAAACTCCTGGGCTCAACCTCTTGAGTAGCTAGGACTAAAAATGCATTTTTATACTCGTGTAAAATGAGTAAAATATAACTGAAATAAGAGTTTTATAAAATGATGCTTTTAGTGAAAGGTACTCTGATATATTCTGGGTTTCTTTTTTTTTAAATGTTGTTTGGGACCCATTAAACTTATTTCATGACCCATTAGTGGGTTACCACTTGCAGTTTGGAAAACATTCGTTGAACTAGATCTTGGATGTTCATTCCTGCTCTATAGTTTTAAATTAGCTAATGTTATTACACGCCCTCTGTGTGTCAGCAGTGATTCTTATACCCTTGTTTGACGTAAAAAGAAAGACAAGGGAACTTGGATGATGCATCCAAGGTCAGAGAGCCAGTAATCAGCAGAGCTCATATTTAATGCAGGTTATCTGACTCCCAAGTGCAGTGCTTTTTTATGCTCCTGCTCTCTCCTTTCCAGGTTTCCCAGTGACAAATCCATCCCCACCCCACACAGCTCAGCACACTCCTCAGTGTATGGCACTTAATCATCATCGCTCTATGCAAATCTTTTCCTTTTATTTTTCCCCCTTTCCTTTTTTATTTTTCCTTTCATTTTTTTCCCTTCATTGCCAATTCCCTACCCACTTCCTTTTCCCCAGGGGATCCTGTCCAATTCTAATATTTGATACATATACTTGGAGTGTGTTTGTACCTTGCAAAGCTAAAGCATTGTTTATATATGTATGCATTTTAGGTTTCCACAAATGGCATTGAGCTATGGGTCATGTTTTTTTATTCAACATTTTCCAAGATCTATTCATGCTTTTGCATGTACATCTAGTTCTTTGCTTCTAACAGATTCACAGGATGGTGTTCATTCACCGTGTTTTATTTATACATTCTCCTGAGGTTGGAGACCTAGATTGCCACCTACTTCCTGCCCCCACAAAATGCCACCATGAGCATCCTTGCACATGGTCCCTTATGGTTCTGTGCTAGAGTTTCTCGTGACTGTAGCTGGGAGAGAATTGTTGGATCCCAGGACACATGTATACCAAATTTTAGTAAATATCTTCAGATTGCTCTCCCGAATGGTTATGTTATAGTACTTTATACTCATGTTCAGCAGTGCATAAGAGATCCCATTTCTGCATATCCTCAACAACACACGGCATCATCCAACTTTCTAATTTTGCCCATCTGATGAATGTAGGATGATCTCATTTTAATTTGCATACCTCTGATTACTAATGAGGTTGAGCATCTTTTCATATACTCACTAGCTTTTTTGGTTCCCCCTTGTGTGAATTACTTATTCATATTCTTTACCAAATTTTTTACTGTTTCCTTTCTTTTTCTTGTTGCAGGAGAACCTTGCATATTTTAGTTTAGTTCCTAGGGAAAATTAAACCCTATTACATTAGGGCATGTATTATACATGCTTGAAGGCTGTGGTCCTCAATCCCCGGGCCATGACCTGTTACTGGTCCATGGCCTATTAGGAAACAGGCATGTATCACTAGTGGCCTGAGCTGTGTACCACAACCTCCCTACTACCCACAACGACACCCCCCTTCTTCATCCCCAGTCCATGGAAAAATTGTCTTCCATGAATCTGGCCCCTGGTGCCAAAAAGGTTGGGGACTGCCGCTCTAAGGTATGTTTTGTACATAATACATAACTTTTCTCCTAAGCATCTAGAATGGTACTATTTGCCTACCATCCTTGGGAGAATTCAGAAAGTACTGAAATTATTTGCTGGTTTTTGAGATTCAGTTGAGGAACCCCAGTTGAGAAAATCTGTTCTGGATAGTAATTTCTAGTCAAGATATTGCCAATGTTTTCTCTTGGAATGTCACCTGTGTGTGGCATCTGGTATTGAATAGAAATATTTGGTTTTTAAAATTACAAATAACCATTTATTCTTTTTAAAGCAGTATTGATTTGTAGTATGAATTGTAGAAATTTAGGAAACATAGATGACCAAAAAAATAAAAGCATCACATATCCCTCCAGGTCTTTTCCTGTGTGCCTTGTGTGTGTGTTTGCCAAAATACAATCATGTTGTATGAACTGTTTTGTAATCTTCTTTTATTGTTGTTGTTAATAATTGCCATCTTTCCATATTAATAAAATTTTATTTAATGTCCAGAACATACTCCAGTTTCTCCAGTTGTTCCAGAAAAGTTTTTTATAGCTGGTTCATCTAGACTAGGATCCAGTGTAGATCCTTGCGTTGTGTCCGGTCACTGTGTTTGCCTCTTAAAATCCAAAATGGTCCCTTTCTTACTCATGATGCTGACTTTTTAAAGAGAGTGCCAGACTGCCAATTGTCCTGGATAATGACCTGTTTTCTAAATTTCCCTGTTGTTTACTCATGGTATCATTTGGTTGGTTACCCCGCCCTATCCTGCGTTTCCTATAAACTAGACTGTAGATTTAAAGGCTTGATAGTAAACATTTTGGTTAGAATACACTAACTAATATTCTAACATTTTGGTTAAAATATTTCATGTTGTATTAATGGAGAAACTCATAATATTGCTAATATAACCCATCATTAATGATACTTAGAATTGGCCCCTGGATTGATGTGATGGTGGTTTGATCCCTCCATTGTAGTTACATTTCCTTGTTGGCAACTATAAATTAGTCTGTATGGTATTATTTGGGTACTATTAATATATGAATGGAAGTTATCTGCCAACAGCAGACCAATTGATAATCCTTGCTTGAGTCAATAATTTCATTAGGGTTGTAGGATAATTATAATTCTATCATTTCTTTAGCTTTATTACATGGGATTATTCATAAAGTCATGCTTTCCATTGAGAAATTCTTAATTTTAATATAGTCAAATTCCTCAACATTTTTGGCCTCATAGTATATCCTTATGGGATCTTGTTTAAGAAATTGTTTTTTAGGCCAGGCTCGGTGGCTCACGCCTGTAATCCCAGCTCTCTGGGAGGCTGAGGCGGGTGGATTGCTCAAGGTCAGGAGTTTGAAACCAGCCTGAGCAAGAGCGAGACCCCGTCTCTACTATAAATAGAAACAAATTAATTGGCCAACTATATATATAGAAAAAATTAGCCGGGCATGATGGCGCATGCCTGTAGTCCCAGCTACTCAGGAGGCTGAGGCAGCAGGATTGCTTGAGCCCAGGAGTTTGGGGTTGCTGTGAGCTAAGCTGAGACCACGGCACTCACTCTAGCCTGGGCAACAAAGCGAGACTCTATCTCAAAAAAAAAAAAAAAAGAAATTGTTTTTTGTTCTAAATTTCCTATTAGCTTTATAGTTTTTACATGTGGATCTTTTAATCTAAATAGAACTCACTGCTGTAAATGTGAATTATGAGAGGATTTAACCTTTTTTTTTTTTTGTCCTCCATAAGCTAAGCTGGTTTTCCTAGTGCCATCTATTAAACACTGTGGTAGCCAGCACACGAGATGGCCACCAGCAATTCTTCCTGCTGGTGTCCAGTCTCTTGTCTACCTCCTCCTACACCGAGCAGGGCTGACCTGTGTAACCAATAGGATGTTGCAGAAATGATAGTGTGTGAATTTTGAAGCTAGGTCATAAAAGACATAGCGTATGACTCTCTTTACTCTGGGAAGCCAGACGCTATGTGAGGACACTCAAATAGCCCTAGTGAGAGGTTCACTTGATGAGGAACTGAAGCCTCCTGCCGACACCCAGCACAGACTCCCAGCCACATGGGTGAACCGTCTCAGAAGCAAGCCTTGACATGGCTGCAGCTTCTTGAGAGACCCTGGGCCAGAACCACCCAGCCAAGCCAATCTCAAATTCCTGACCCACAGAAACTGGGAGATAATAAATGTTTATTATTGTTTTAAACTGCTAAAATTGATAGTAATCTGTTACCCAGGAATAGAT